TTGACTATAAATGATTTTGTAATATCAGTGTTCTCTCTAAGCAGTTACTATTAAGTGTAGCAGTAAGGGAAAACATTTTTCTATATCAGGGTAATGCCTATGACAAGTGTTTCTCTGTCTCAGATGTCTTCTCATTTAGACTTTAAGGAATTCCAGATTCTATATACGGTATTATTCTTCTGCAGCATAAAAATTTGAATGTGATCTATTGATAGTTCCCCCCGTTATTTGAAGTTGTACAATAATGCCATCTTGAGGTAGATTAAATAACAGTTACAAATTGAATATTTTTCCTTTTTTCATTTGTATTTTGCAATATTTATCTATTTACTATTTTACAAATATGTAAAGTTTTTCCCCAAAATTTTTATTTTGAAAATTTCAGAACATGCAAAAAAATGAAAGAACATGAAATACTCATATATATATATTTCACTAAAAGTGTTGTAAACATTTTCCCATATTTGCTTTATCTATGTATATTTTCTTGTTGAATCATTTGAAAGTAAGTTGCACATGACATCATACTTCACTCTTAAATACTTTGTTATTCTTGTGCTAAGCATAAGGACATTTTCCTATAATCACAATACCATTAACATACCTAAGAAAATTAATAATTTCAAAATATCGTCTAACACCCAGTCCATATTCAAAATTTCCCAGTTGTCCTAAGAATATATGAAAGTCAATATTTTCTTTTTGAACCAGGATCCTGTCAAGGCTCACATATTGCCTTTAACTGTTGCCTCTTTATTTATTTTAATCTAGAATAGTTCCCCACCTTTTTAAAATGACTAAGTGTCCAGGCCAGTTTTCTTCTAGGATATTTCACATTCTCAATTTGTCCGATTGTTTCTTCATGTTGTAGTTTAAACCTCACTATTTTATTCCCCTCTATTTCCTGTAAACTGGGAAGGTGGGTCTAGAGCAGGGGTACTGAAGCTTGGGTTCACAGACTCCACAGGGTCTGTGGATAGAATTCAGAGTGTCTGTGAACTTTGGATGGGGAAAAAAATTATATCTTTATTTTAACTTATCTCTAACTTGGTGGTTCTCTCCTTCCCCAACCCTTGGACATTTAGCTATGTCTGTAGACATTTTCAGTTGTCACAGTTGGGTGGGTAGGAGGTTGCTACTGGTGTTAAGTAGAGGCCAGGGATGTAGCTAAAGATCCTACAATGTACAAGAAAGCCCCACCAACAAAGAATTATCCAGTTCAAAATGTCAGTGGTGTTAAGGTTGATAAGCCCTGTTCTAACTGGATTTTAGCATTTCCTTTGATTATAAATATAGGAAACTCCTAATGGGCACAGCACGTACAATACAGTTACAGTACCTGTAACTTTGTCACCAATAGAAATTTCAGGTGTTTTCATATTACGCAGGTACCTCAAAATACCACTTATGCTCATTTTTTGCCTAGAAATTAAGGTAGTTATCAGATTCATATTAATCAAAAATATATTATAATTGAAAAAGTATTTTGGTAGCTATATTTCAGCATCCATTGTAATCTTGTGTATGCATTTTTTTTTGCATTCAAAAAATTGTTCTGAGAAGAGATCTGTCGGCTTTTCTAGACTGTCAAAGGAATCTGCAGGACAGTAAAGCTTAACCCCTGGTCTAGAAGCTTGATTGGATTGGCTTAAACATTTTTGGCGAAAATATTTCATACGTAATGATATTCTGTCGTTTCATGAATCACATAATATTGAGTTATCCTGCTATTATCAGTGATGTTAAGTTTGAGGACTTATTTAAGGTGGTGACAGCCAGATCTCTCTGTTTTTAAGATAGGTTTTTTCCCTTTGCATTGCTAAGTAATCAGTGGGGTAATAGTTTGGCACATGAGAATTTTCTGTTGTTAACAACCTTTCACCTAAAGGCTGTGGCATATATTGGTGATTTTTACTTGAATTAGTTTTTATGTTGGGGGTTGCAAAATGGTGATTTTCTAATTCTGTCATCTCTTCTACATTTTATTACTGGCATTCTTCGGTAAAGAAGACATTTTCTTTTCCTATCCCTTTTCCTCATTTCATTTTCTACCTTAAGTGTCACTAGGGATTCATTAATTTTTACTTATTCAGTGTTATACTCCATTACTTTTTTTAAAAAAAATGCTCAAATTGCCCCAAACGTGGCCAGTGGGAGCCCCTTCATCTTGTTCCTTTGTCCTTTTAACAACAGACCCTACTGGTCTTTGAGCTTATCCTTGCATTCTTACGCAAGAATTCTCAGGGTAGACTTGTTCTTTTTGTGCTCCAGGTCTGGAGTTAGATAGTTCTTCAAACAGCCCTGATTTCTTTTCATTGGAAATGGTATTGAGAAACAAAGGTCTGGACACTTGGTGTGCTCCTTGTTTGCTGGGGTGGGAGGAATTTTATCTTGGCCCTTTCAAATTTTGTTTTTAACTAAGCTTTTAACTTGAAAAGATACTTTCAGCTGTAAGAGAGAAAATAAAATCTTCATTATTTACTCGTCCTTGCAAATCCTTTCTTTTGGAATGATTCGGTCTGTTTCTTCCTTATCAGCCCAGACCCATGTTCTTATTACTCAGGATTATTAGTTGCTGTCTAACTAATTCCTTTCTCTCTCTCTTTGGATATGTTCTATACACCATCTATTTTTTTTATTATATAAAATATTTATTATATTATCTGTGTGACTGTGGTAGGCACATAGAATACACAGGAAAACAGAAACATGAAGAAATTCAAAGGCTAGGCCAGGCACATTGGCTCATGCCTGTAATCCTAGCACTTTGTGAGGCTGAGTGGGGAGGATCTCTTGAGTCCAGGAGTTTGAGGCTGCAGCGAGCTATGATTGTGACCCTGCACTCCATCCTGGGTGACAGAGCAAGACTCCATCTCTGGGAAAAAAAAAAATTATTAAAAATTGAATGGTGAAGGGAATGGAATGTCAAATGGTTTGAAATTGAGATTTACGAAGTCTCCTAATTTTATGTAATTCCTTTATAGCTACAGATTTTTCCCTCTTCTCATAAGAATTAGGAATGGTGTATGAAAAAACAGAATGTACATATATTTCCCAATTCAGAATCTTTGAGGAAGAAACAGCGTTTTTTTTCCTCCAGGTATAGAAATAAGGGAGTCTAGCAATATTTTTCCACAATTCCCCATCCCCCTAAGTGTTTCTAGCTTCCTAAGATGGCACTTAGGATTTCTTTTTTTTCTGTAAAAACAACATGATGGTAAACAGAATAAATTAAGATAGCAGTGTACTATTGTTGGAATGAATATCTAATATTAAGCAATAGATGTTCCACACAAATACATTTTTCACATGTGTGGCCTGCCACTTTAAGTGTCAAAATGTGTTTATTTTAGCCTTCTTATTTGAGGGAATTAATAAAAATGTTAACAGAGTCAAATTTAGAATTGTCTTCACCAAAGATTTAGTATATAGGATTCTGTTATATAATATTTACTGTCCTTTAGATATTTGTTTTCTCTTGAATATGTGTAAGCTTTCATACAGAAACAACCATACACACTTAATGTGTATGGATGTAAATGCAACAGGCCAGTGATGCCTTTCAAACAAAGGCCCTAATTAATTTTCCCAAATATCATTTTCATTAGAGAACTCTCTTGACTCCAAATGATGACTCCTTATTGCTTAGAGAACCAACTGCAATCTAGTTGTACTCTTTGTGTATGTATGTGTGTGTTTGTGTATGTGTAAATGTGAATATAACTTATTTGTCAGTACTTCCCAATGCAAGCATTTCACTGTAGCCAGGTCAGTTTCCACTATAGTCAGTTCCATAGTCTTATGATTCATTATTCTATGTTTCTAAAGTTTATTCATGCTATTGTATGCTTTCTGTTTAAGGGTCTTGAGGAAGTTACTTATCTTTGTGTATTTTCTTAGCAGCTTATTTCTTATCTTACGGTTTCAGTGAATGGTATAATTGTTTATGTTTCTTTGCCTTGAAAGTACTGAGATAAATATGCGAGGAAGTCTGGGAAATTTAGCTTTCCAGCAAACTAGAAGGAAGTTAAGAGTAGATGAACTATTTGTAACAGGTCCCAACCTTATATCTCTTCTCCTTATTTCCTACTCTTATTTTTCTATTCATCAGATTTCCTAACTTGGCTTTCTTTTTTTTTAAACTTGTTAAACCACATGATCTTTCCAGTTTCAGTATAGCTTCATTTATAAAGTCTTACCTGACACTGTGGCCTATGTTAGGTTGCCTTGCCCCACAAATTCTTTTAGCATTTACTAAAAAATGTAGACATAGATTAACTTGTGTTTTGCTTACATATATTTCTTTTGATTACTTGATGCAATTACAAGCTCCTTGAAAAATGATACCTTTTAAAATAATTTAATTACTAATGACTTTATAATCATATTACTACATGGCAGTCACATAGTAATAATTAAGATGATAATAGCCAACATCTGTGAACACTAACTTTGAGGTGGGCATTATTTTCAATGCTTTATGCCATTTGCATAATTCATATAAGATGTTTATCTCTCTTTTCATCTCAATTCTACTGATGAGGAAAGGTACACAAAGGTTAAGTCAATTTCCTCGTGGTTATACTGCTGGTGAGTGAAGGTGAGATATGAACCCTGGCAGACTGACTTCAAAACTCATGCCCTTATCCATTTTGCTGTAACGCATAATTACTATATACTTGTTGAATGAATGAAGAATGTTTTCGTCTTTAATATATATTGGGTGCAACATTGGTATCTTTTGTACTTTGGATAAAAGACTAAGTAAGGATGTTTCAGTTTGGGGAGTTTTTTTTAAAACAAGGACTAATAACTTTCTTAGCAAACTAAATATTTTGATCAACTTTTCTCAATTAACAACAAATATTCAAATTGTCTACTTTGAGGGATTTTGAAAAAAAATTTTTTTTTGGGGGGAAGGGTTTGTGAGATGCATAATACTTACAGATGGATTTTTATTTGTATTGTGTCTTTATTATTTGTTTCTTACTCATTTTCAGTTGAGTGGTGATTTTATGCAATGGCTTCAAGCCACAGTTCTTCACCAGTGCCTCAAGGAAGCAGCAGTGATGTTTTCTTTAAAAAAGAGGTAGATCCAACAAAACACATTCGACCTGTGCAGTCACTGCCAGATGTGTGTCCCAAGGAACCCACAGGTAATTTTTTTTCTTTCCTTTCTTTTTTCTTTTTCTTTAGAGTTTTTACCGATGATTTGTATTACCTTTAAATGAGTAGTCAAGTTTCGTTATACTTACTTCAGAAGAGTAAATTTTACAATGTTAAAAATAAAGAGACATGGCGGGGCACGGTGGCTCATGTCTGTAATCCTAGCACTCTGGGAGGCCGAGGCGGGTGGATCGCTCAAGGTCAGGAGTTCGAGACCAGCCTGAGCAAGAGTGAGACCCCATCTCTAC